CATGATGTTCATCACTCGTTCCATGGCACAGTGGATGACCCGAGCACAAACCTGAATCCACCGTCACCTGCAGCCCCGCTCAGGACGTGGCCTTCTCTCTTTCTTTCTTTTTGGCCTAGCACTCTCGCTTTCTCCGATTCGAAACATCAATCGCAGCCTTAACAAATCTGGTTTGGCATCGTTTCATGTTTTTCTTGGGGCCAATCGTCTCAGGTGTTGGTATCCAGGATCCACAGTGATCTGAGCTGCAGGATCCTCTTTCAAACCATTTCCTTGTAGTGTCGAATCTGTCCATCTGCCGTCACCGGTCGAGGTCGAAAGCACCACGCCTTCTTCACGTTGGCCGCTTCGTCGGCGTCCACTCGGCTGACCACCGCACAGTCCATGAGCTTCTTCGCGGCATCCTGTCGGTGGTGAGTTGGTCACCGGGTCACCGGGTCACGCGGAAGTAGGGTCAGCGTGGTGTTCGGAAACTCAAAAGGTTGGTTTCGGAAACTAAAGCGTGGGTAGTTACATGTAACTTATATACTGAACATTACTTTATTCATTGAGTAGAATGCCACACTGGAGATGGCAACCTGTCTGGTCGGGTCTGGCATTGGCAGGGCCTGACCAAAGCATTCTTCGCACCGGAACACAGTTCACCATCCGGCCTTGAACCATGGAACGACCTGGGCCGCGAGACGCCCATGATGTCAGGTGCGAGACGGTGTGAGACTGTTTGCGTTTCGGGGCAGGTGTCAACCGGCCTGCAGTGCCAGCCTCTGGACCACGGACCTGGAACAAACCGCACCGAACAGTTGGGGTCGCCACCCGCGTCAAGGGGCTTTCTTCCACTTCTTGTCGGATGATGAAGCCTCGCTGCTTGCCTGCAGAACGGACCACTTGGCAGGTCGGATCAGGGGGATCCAACTCTATTGAATCCAATTGATCTTGGCCCACATGCTAAACAGGGTGGCCTGAGTTGCCAGAAGCTTGGTTTTCCCGAAGTGTGGTTTTCGCACTGAGCGGAGCGTTCTTGTCGAAGCACGACCGGCCCCCCGGCCTGCATTCTTGTCTTTATTTCGCTTCGACCGGCCTCCGGCCGCCTGGTCCTTGGAGCGAGCGGTGCGGTAGGCGCAACACCGGTGAGAGCGGTGGCCACTGAGATGCCAACGTCTTCGCAGATGGCCTCCTGGTAGACCGCTTTCTTGGAAGAGACGGCTAAATACCTCCACTCGGTCAACATGGCAACGTTTCGCCCAGGAGGGTCCAATACTTGGATGTAGTGAACTCACTATGAACTGGAAAGGCCACAAGCTGTTTGGCGTTATGAATCGTCCCGAATGCCATCTAGAAGCGGTCGACACTGACACTGATATCTTGCCTTGTGACTTTGATGGCTTTCCATGCTTTTTCTGGTATCCCACCGCGCCGCTCACAAGCATCTTTGCAGCTCATCCGGCGCACGTGAGCTGCTCCAGGGGCAACTGCTGGTCCTAGCAGCAACCAGTGAAGTTTGAAGTTTCTGTGGATGGATCTCCGATTAACACCTCTAATTAGCTACTTCAAGCTTCATCTGGGGTAAAACCAGCATGGCATCACTATCGACATCGGCCCAGTGGGTGCTCGCCACTTTCCAAACAACTAATTATTCTTATTCCAGCTTTTTCAGTAACAAAATACAATCAGTCTACTGTGTATAGATAGCTTCTCTTTGCATCCACAAAATGGACAATGGCAAGCCAACTGCCTGGATCTTCACAAATTCTGGCAGTTTTGGTTATTGACCCGGTTTTCTGCGCAAACACCCGCAAATCAGCGCAACCGACAAAACGACCGCCAATTAGCGCAAAACGCACGTAAAAAACAAGCAAACGACCACAAAATTCCGCAAAACAACGCAAAACAAACAAAACGACCTTAAAACCAAAACGACCATAATTTGTTGGTAGTTGGAAGGTCCAGGTGGTTTTCATGCTGTGCTGGTGCTCATCACAAGGGTGGTCACTTGGGAGATTCCTTACTTCCAAAAGAGCCACATGTTAAAACAATATTTGGCTTGGCCACTCTCCGTGCCGACTCATCCATCGACCGACTCGAACATCTACTGGGCGACTGAGGCTGCGGCGGAGACCACCACGGTGAAGACCTCAGGGTGACGCGGACTCAGGCAACGTGGTTTCGGTATAAAGTAGACACTGCACCGATTGCAACCGCAGGTAATCCATCGATCTATCTATCTGTCTTGTCTTGTCTTATCTGATCTATTGTAATTTCCTTATGATTTACTGCAACCTTTCCTACGAGATAGACTTGTTGACTGAGTGGTTTCAGAAAGGAGGCACCCGTCGAGGACGCCTACGAACGCCACGAAGCGTCTTGTTGCTTCCTTTATGCGTCCACCACCACGTCTCGATGCACCAGATATCGATGGCAGCAGCGCAGGGCCCCAAGCCGTGGAATCGCGGTTGATCCAAATCTGAGCACCATCCTTTCGTGGTGTCATCGACATCATCGGCGGAGCAGTTCTTCAGGCAGTTTTTTGTTGGTTTTTTCAGCCGCTTCCTTCAATGGCTTACTTCACTGGCAACACAAACATCAGACTTAGGGGAGCTTTTCTGAAGGTTGCATGCATGGAAAGCAATGGTGCAGTGGTGCTTGGTTGCAAGGCATGTTGAACACGTCCCAAGCTCAAAGCAGCTAGATCACATGCTCTGGCCAGGCCTCGCCAACATACCAGCTCATCCTGGGGACAAACAATGGACCATGGAGAGCTGCCACTGCATGGAACTGGAACGTCTGCCTCCAATTAGCTATAGAAGTCTTGCCAAAAGTCGTCCTTTTACATCAAATCAATATATGACACTGTGACACCTTTCAATTTCAACGCAGGTTGCAAGGCTTTTCAAGGAACACACGGTGATCCGAGGGAGTCTCCGACAAGGAACTAGGTCCAAAACGGGAAAATGTGGCTGAAACGGCCAAGCCGGGAAAGGCAGGATCGCCAAGATAGTCAGGATTAAACTGTCTGGATTTTCTGGTAGTGGAGAGGGTCATGTTCCGGTGGCTACACTATCTGCTCTACAGACCGTAAACTGGAGTGATTCTCCAAGCGTTTTGGTTGAATGTCTGGCAACGGAACCACCATTTAGGAATCGTTGACTGATTCACCTCTCTTGGAGAAAAAACGATTCACTCAATTTAAGAGGGCCTGGATAGGTTCGGTTCAAAGGAACGAGTTCGCTGGATGCACTGCTTTTGCCCGCTGCTCTTTGCGTCTCTTTGCTTCTTCTCTTTGAACCCAAACAAGCAACACATGCAACACATGCATCAAGCTTCAGTTGGCAGTTGGCTCATCCTCAAAGCTGCAGCTGGGTCAATGGCCTCAAATCAGGGAACTTTGCAAAGAGAGATGAACAGAGTGTTACGGGGTAGTTTGGAAATACAACAGATCAAACGTTTAACATGAACAAATGAACCCTCCTCCTGCTTCGGGGATGTTCATGAATTTTTTCTGTTTCAAAAGCCGTCCCCGCTGTTCGATCCTTTTTTGCTCCTTGACCTTCCACTGAAGCAGAACGCTCGTTCAGTGGCGTCATAAGATCTGCAGGGGAGTGGATGAGCGGAGCCTGCGCTCGTCAGAGGGCCTGTGCGTGGGCTCTCCGTTTCGATGCGTCCCCCATGCAAATGCAAAATGCCAGGGCGCCCTGACGCGCCATCTGGCGATAAGTCCGCATTCAAATGCTATGTGGGACGAGAAATGTAGCGCAAAGCTACATCTAAGCTGTAAAATTTGAGGCAGCTGCCAGCTTGTGCAGGCCCAAGGTCAGAATGTAGAAGTGACAAGGGAGTGAACATAGGTGTTGCAAATTGGGACAATTGTTTCAGTGCCCCATCCAATACACCCCAGCCTGGACATACCAAGAGCCTAGAGCGTTCTCAGTGCATCATTTCTGTGGCGCATGGGACGTCCTCTCACTCTTGCCCCAAACCTCGGAGGACGGTCACAGGGGTGATGGCGGTAGCCATGGATACCCAGGGTTGGTGAACACATCATGGTCATACCAAAGTTGCTGAAGGGGCCCAAACTGCTTCCCATGAGGTGGTCTTTTTGGACCCGCTATGTTTCCCTACACTACACCACTTTTGACGTTATCGTTGCTTTTTGTCATTTGGGTTTACAGGGTGCGTTTCTATACTTTCAATGTGTCTGGGTTCCTTCTTGTAGTACTCACAACAAGGAAACAAGAAAGCGTGTCATGATCACGAGTCCGGGCAGTCAGTCAGGCATGACAGGGGGAGTCGAGCTCGACTCCCTAGTTCGACCCCTGAAAGAAAGAACATAGACATAGACCAGTTTACACTCCCACTCACCAGCATGGATGTGGAAGACCGCCTGTGCGTAGAGCAAAATGGTCTGACTAGAGTCCAAATTCTTCCATGTTCGTGGGTGAAAGTGTACTCCCTTGGGCCCATAAGGGTCTCCGGAATCTCCCTGTTTTGATTCCAAGGTCACACCCCAAATTCCATCCATTCAGCTGCTCAGCGCTTCAACTCAGCTCCGGGCGGGCGGCCTCTCGACCCCATCCAGGCGCATGCGCATGCACCTGGACGAGCGAAATCCATCGCAAAACACCGAAGCCAAGGCCGAAAGGCTTTGGGGTTTGGCCATCGGGGTTGCAGCAACTTTTTCGGGATCAGCCTATAGTGAGATGTTTCAAACATACTCAGCAAGATGGAAACTAGTGTCCACTAGTCGGTGAAGTCATTGAGCCATGAATAAATGATAACTTCCCGAGCAGGCCAGGCATTATACAAAAAAACAGAAAACAGCCATGCAATGTAGTCTTTAACTTTAACAAGATCAAATGACAGAATAGTGGATTTGAGCTAGAACATTAACATTGGCTGAATGAGTCTGGCTTCGAAACCAGTCAATAAGTTAAAATAGCTTGACCAGCACAAGCACAAACCGAATACAATGGTGCCTCCTCGAAATCTGGACTCGACAGCACTCTCTAGTGCAGTCTCAGACACTTTTCGAGGCTCTGCTGAAGCTGGTCCACCTTCTCTGTGTTGCTCATGTTGGAAAACCACACCTCCACAAGGTGGAACCCAGAACTTTTCCATGGCGAGGGTCAAAGGACCCCTTAAAGGAAGGTCAAAGGACCCCCTCTCAAGGAGTGCGACAACTATGACTAGGACATGATTGAGACAATTCACTCAGAATTGACCGCCATCTGTAGAAGGCCATGAAATGCATTGTTTCTCATCGATCATCCGCCAAACAATCCATCCCAATACCATCCCAGCTCACCTCGATTCGGACGTGTGGAGTACGCTTATGTTGCAGCTTGTCCACCAGTCGTACTCCCGTGACCATGTCGGCATTCCTGACTCCGAGGCCAAAAAGGTAGGCCCGGACTCAAATGGACCACTTCTTTGGCAGGTCCATCTCCCCATCAGGTGGGCCGGATCTTCCGGACCATCTCCCCATCTCTTCTATTCGGAACGACATGACCAGGACCATTGGCGAAAAATGAAGGTGAAAAAATGTGAGTCTGCTTGGCGTGATTGCCAAGGGGCACCACCGACCCTCCAATCAAGCTGAGCACCGTATTGTTCCAAATCCTCAGAGAGGCAGCCAGGAATATACCCCTGTCAAAGCTTCAACAACTGGAACCTCAAGTGCACTTAAAGGGGCTCCACGGTGCACGTCGTACATCTTTATTGGACGTCACCCTTGTCATTGGAGTCTCTTTCGTATCTATTTGTCATGACTCCAAAGATCTCGAAAAAGTCTTGACAAACGCCCCAAGACTCCAAGTCCCGGGTGTTTATGCAAAAACTTGTCCAATCCTGTAGGGTTACCGGTGTCGCATGGTGTCGTCAGGACCGGAAGTGGCTGCCAGTTGTGCGTTGACCGGAGTCACCAAGTGCCAGGCTCATCGATCAAACCTCCACCGAGGGCGGCCTCCGTCATACCATGGTGATACATGTGACAGCCAACATTAAGACCAAACAAGAGCACGACGCCTAACGACTCTAGATGAGATCTATCTATCTATCTATCTATCTATATTATATGTATATAGTCATTTACATACACGTTTATACACTACGTGTGGGAATGTGAGCTACGATCCCATGGCCTCAATTTCCGACCTCTTCGGACTTCGTCAGATTCAGTGAACGCGAACGGTCCCTTTGGGCTTGCCCAAAAGCGACGGCTCTTTCGCCTTCAGTTGGTACGTGAAGTGCCCGCCGGTGGCGTTCACGGCATCCTGACACGTTCACATCACCAGTGGCATAGTGGCAGTGGAAGCTGAGGAGTGGCATGGCGCAATGATGCAATGGCACTGTGAGCCGTTTTGGACATCAAAGGCCAGAAAAAAGAAAGCATTTGTCGAGATGCTTCAGAAGGCAATGAATGGCATCCGAATGCAATGAATGTGATATATATACTTACTCCTATATCTAAGTGAAAAAATACTCAAACATGTTCACTAGGTGAACTCCCCTGGCGAGAGCTGTTCCATAATTCTGCGTGATCTTGACCAGTTGAGACTGCCTCCCACTCAGGACGGATACCATCTTTGAAAAGCATCAGGGCCTGAGGAAACTCCACAAACTCGAGAGTGAGTTGGAACCAGGGGTAACCACGCTGACTCACATGCCGTGGTATATTATACAGTATACATGGTGTTCTATGTACAACCACCCCCCGACAAACCACTTGTCATGACGGGAAAACAGCAACAAATAAAGATAAATAAAGCATGTTGTCGAGAATCTCATGACTACTCTCATGACTAATCTCATGACTTTGAGACGCAGCCTTGTTGCAACCACCAGCCAAACCAGTTACTGTTGCAGCTAGACACTGTTCTCACATAATGGATCTACTGCTAGATTCATCCAAGCGGTTTCAAAAAAACAGCACTGGGGCTCAGGCATCAACAACCATCCGACTGTCATCCTGGCGATGTGGCCAACAAGACAGGCTGGTCAAGTCTCAGTTTCACAGGTTCTCATTTTCTGGTAACACCTCGCACACAACTCTGACCAACTCTATTGCGAATACGTGTACTTCACAACGTTTCTCGATCTCCCAGAAGTCACACAGGAAAAACGGCCTTATTGATCCGTAGAAACTTCTTCCCCTCCAGCAAGAAACTGGGTTGCGGCATGTGGTTCCAGTACCTCCATGCTGAGCCATGTGGCTAAGATCTGCCATAGGCAAAAAACATGTGAGAGTGCACACAATGCACAACCACACAGCTGCTGTCAAGCTACAAGCAATTAAACACGGCAACCCACCAATGCAACCGAGGCAAGCCAACGAATTCACAAACAAAAAATAGAGAACGAAGTGCAGCTGCGATTCCTGGTGCCACAACCGGCAATCCGTCTGTAAGCTCCTGACTTCCAAAAGCCTTTGATGGTCTCCAGAGTGGCAATGTGTTGGGTGGCTTGGGAATACCTGCCAGCGCAGGTATAAACAACAGAACATCTCCAAACACCTGCTTGGGTCTATGTGCTTGCAGACTTCAACCCAGTGGATTCATGAGAGAACACACTCTTTCTTAAACGCTCATTGGACAATTGTGGTCCAAACATCCTCTCCGAACAATGACCGACTCGATTCGCTGGACAAATGCCGACTCGATTCGGCTCACTGAGAGCTGTCTCTCTGAGCAGCAGAGAGGCCCAGTTGCTCCTCAGAAGAGAGAATGACCGGACAAGTGACGGGACAAAGGAGCAACCGAGAGAGCCAATTGCTCCAATCAACTGGGATCAGACCACCTGGGAATGAAGGGCCAGATTGTTCAGCTCTTTACCATATTGTCATCTGCACATCTGACCACCTGGACAAAGATTCCTGAAGGTCCCAGAACCACCATTTTGTACGTAGAAAGATCCTCCAATCAATAGAATGTCTTGCTGCAGTATCAATCGGTCTCCCAGCCTTTTCAGTCTTGGGAGTCTTGGGATGTCTCAAAGATCTTTGGACCGACCCTGTCGGATGCCCAAAGCACCACTGAGTCAAGATGCCCAAAGCACCCACTTCTGTTCCAGCGCAGGGTCCTATGCGAAGCACTGGCCGAAGGAATGGTCGTTACGGCCTCCACCCTAGATGCGATGGCCTCCAACCTAGGTCCTAGGTCAATTCTGGACTGCGTTCTCACATAGCATATACTGTCATCATATGGCATTTTCTTCCATGCGCCTGCTCCGTGTTCTCACTGCAGTCATTTGACCTCCCCGCACTCATCGCTGCAAAAGAAACAAACGCAGCAATATGATTGGGTCATTGGCTGCATCAGCACCCTAATGGAAAACACCCAGACCTCCGCTGGAGGTGAGAGGTCATCATTCTTCGACATCTCTGCTTGCTCGGTCATGCAGCTACCCATGTTGCACAAAATTGTGTCCATCATTGCATCAAATTGCATGTTGCAAGTCGACTTCAAATGGTCCTGTTTTTGGACGATGTAGTTGTGCAGTTATATGTACTGTAATAATTCTATTCATGGCACCCTGAAGAACCCTGGTAAGAAAAACTGTTCAACCGATCCAAAGAGCCCTGAAAAATCCCAAAGGCCCCTTCCTGAGAGAAGTGATCCTTTCATCTCCGGACTCTCATCGGGGCCCCGGCTCTAAAAATGTATCAATCTGCGGTGACACGGTGGAATTGAAGCTCAAGAAGGGCCTCGATGCTCCAAACAGAAGGGCCGCGGATTTCTTCTTTCGGATCTTCGGAACGAAAAGGTGGACGGAGTCACTTGGTATGGGTTTGGTCCCTTGGTATGAATCTTGAACATGCATGTACCAATGACATAAATATAGAGAGCGGATTGCGCTGGGGGGTGGGTTTTTAATTCATAGGTTTTTTAATGATTTCTAGCTTATTGTTTGTTAATGTACAGATGTGAGGCATTTCCAGATGATTGGAAGCAAATGATGCAGTTGCAAGATGTGTTTCTACTTTCTTTTGTCAGAGCCAGCATGACAGTAAAGAAGATGATTTTTGGAAGAATGCATAAGGATACTACCACAGTCAAATCATCTGCTGCAGACAATGCAAGCAAGGAGTTGGCGCTAAGACATCTCATTTTTCCGCGCTAGTTCTGTTCCAAAATCTAGTTCTAGCAAGCATATGCTTTGCTTACCTTAGACACAGCTTTCTTGAACTTGTTCAAGTAGCTGGCCTTGTTTTCAGCCACAGCTTGGTTGTGCAATTTGGAAAAGTACAGCACCTTAAAAGTGTGGCGAATTGCACGTGCCTCATTCAAAATCCGTGCATAATTGCGAAACCAAGAGAAAACTTGTTCGCAAGCCGACGTATTTGTCTTCGCAAATCGCCGAGACAAACGCTTGACGTAGAGTGGATTGTACACGCAAGTCTTCTTGTGCCTGTGGGCGTGGAACTTGTCAAGGCTCCAATATTTGATTTGGGAGAGGGACTTCTTACTTGCATGAGTCGGTGCGAAACCACAGACACGGTCCATGATGAATCCATTGACTTTCTGGTACAGAGGCAAGACTTTCTCCAACGACTTCTGGACCACTGGGTTGTTCTCCGGCTTGTCCATGGCAACCACACAAAGAATTCGTTGATCCTGCGGGTTGACTAGCATGAACCATCCATGCCCAAAGGGTTTCAAAGAACCGTCTTTCCGAGGTCGTCCTGCATGTGTGGTAGTTTCGCCACATTTGATGTGGACCTTCGAGTGACCATCTCCGACAAGTTCAGTCACTGATGCCCTCTTTTTGGGTGGGAAAGCAACCTTGTGCACATAGTCATCATACTTGCGGAGCGCAGCCTCTGAGATTTCATCTCCAATGACAATGTCTTTCTCGCGCCCAATCAATGAGAGCTCCTGCAAAGCCAGCCAGTACATGACACAGTCTGCGTGCATTGCACGGAAGCGAACTTCACTGTGCTCATGGTCAAAAACTGATTTGTAAGCAGCCTCTATGGCTCGAGCGGCCAAGAAGCCTCGAAATTCCAAGGCTGAATGATATTTCAAATAATCCAAGGAGAAGCCAAGCTTGTTGTTCACAAACAGAACATCCGAGACATTCTCCAAAGTGGCTGTGTTGATCTTCTTTCCATCATCCAGCAGGAAGTTAGGTCCAAAAGTTGTGCGGCACCCATAGGCATTGCAACGCATGGTGCGTACAGTCGTTTCACATGGACCTGCCAAGGTGTACACCACAGCTGCCACATCATGCCCTTTGGAAAAGGAACGGTGTCCACAAGGGCATTTGGTGAGTTGGGTCGAATACACTTTCCGAGCTAAGGCTCCTCCAGAAATGGAATACGGCACCTGAAGCAAAGTTGAAGAGGAAGGGATGCCCAGGACAACCTTGAAGAAATAGTACCGTGGATTCAACATCATAGAGGATAGCATGCCGATGGATACTTCAACCTTGTCGTCACCATCCATTTTAATCGCAAAACCTTCTATGTGCTGCAAAGCAAAGAAATGTGAAGCCTGAATGTCAAGAACAACATATTTGCCTTGCGTCAGCGACATGTTTCGGGGGATGATCTGAAGGCTGGCACCGAGTGGACGAAGCATGACACACCCATCAAGAGCTGTAAAAGGACCATCTCGAGGACAAGCAACAGGACACCCAAGGTTCTGCAAGGCCACAACAAGACAAGCATTCTCAAAGCCATCTAAAGATCCATGACCACCCTCAAACTCCAGTGCGTTCTGCAATTCATCACCAGGCTCATCTAGTCCATCTGATTCTCCAATACCAGGGAAATCCGGATTCTGTGGCGGGTCAGCTGGCATGGCTGATGAACTAAGACTGGAATTGTTGACGCGAGACCTTTTGGCAGGCGATGGAGAAGGCGTATCCAGCTCGATGGTGTCAATGCGCTGGCTTTTGAGCTCCTTGAATTTGGAATCCACTTTTTCCTGCTTGATCTTCATGCTCATCTCATCCGGAGGCAGCAAACGCGGTGCTTGTTGGGTCTCAACTAGCTCACCACCAAACAATCCACGACCGCGAATGGTGATGGTGCGTGGGACCTGTTCTCCGCGAAGCAAGCGGGCAAGAAGTTCTTGGGACCAAATTGAATCAGCATGAAAAGACTCTGGGAGTTCATGGGCCTGCGGATTGCGTTTGTACGCCCTAAAGATTGGCCGTTCAGCTTCTGCAAGCAAATCTTTCGCCTCAGGGTTAGGCCATGGGATGAAAGGCACGCTTGTCGCACCTGTGCTAGCAAGGCGCCAATACACACCGTGATCGGTCAAGACTATAAGGTGCGTTCTGGCTAGGATAGCGGCCAAATCTGCCTTGTCCTCAACGCCAGCAAAAGAAGGAGCGACAAGGTCGAGGAAGTCTTTGTGCTCTATC